AATTTTTTTTTTTTTTTTTTTTTTTTTTTTGTATTGTTAAGCTGAACCAAACACATCAAAATAGCTTAAATTAAACTAAAAGTTCAAATAAACTGGAAATAAGCCATACCAAACATGACTATTATACTCAACAAAAACCAACAGAGAGCTCATACTATACATACATACAGATATAGCAATACTGGACTAATATCTTACATACTACGAACAGAATACACACACTAGAGTTTTCCAAAAATATTCTTGATTCATCATCATCCACCAATGGCCTAACTACTCCTCTGCTCGGCTTGATCACTCCTCCTGTCTCACATTCCATCTTTCTGGGACTTGAAACGAATCCCACTCCATTGTCTTGGAAGCACTGACCTTATCGTTTCTCAGTAGATTGGTCTCTACAAAAGTGGTTTTGCGTGCAGAGAAAGACACTTTTGATTCGTAAAAACAATTATTGGATACTCTGTAATAAACCCTGTAAGAAACAGCTATATGATCTGCTACTACTGACCCTTCCTCCTGTAAATCATTAGTTTTGATGCTCAGGTTTATGTTCTTAAGGATATGTGGGTCCGTTAAAGACACCGGGTGATTTGGATAGCAATTAAAATAAATTGGGCCATCACTCAGCTTAGACTGTGCAACAGCTGTCAGAGAATTTTTGAAGTAAAGGAAGCGACGATCACGCAGACAGACTAGCACGGAGCTCTTTAATCCAGTTGCAGTCAGTGGCTTCACAGCTACTTGTACTAACCCAAAATGGAGGTACCTGTACTTGCTCATATGCTCTTCGATTGCTCGTTTTTCGAGCAATTGAAACTCCTCGAATTCACCTCGGATGAAGACTGTATTTTCTAGTTTTTTGATCTCGTACTTGGGTGGTTTGAACTCCAAGATTCCTCTTCTGTGGTAGACATTGTACACGGGGACCTTTGGGGGATTCCATTCCTGAAGGAGTCGGAGTCGGAGTCGTTCCATGTTTTTCTCAACTTGCTCTGCTTTGGAAGTATTGGTATTGGTACTACTACTGGTTGCCATTTATGCTAATTTCTTGGAACAAACACAGCGTTGGTGCTCACAAATAACGAGAGATCAAAAGGACAAATAAAACAACACTTGCGAGTAGGAAAGCAACAAAGGCAAAAACAGGTTTTTAAACACTTCTGACTATAATTTTGGTGCTCAGAAATTTGTGTATGTGCACATTCAGAACTCGAAACCGGACTCCAGATCCATTTAAATAAGAGACAAGGTGCATGATATAATATAGCCTCAGCGAGTTATGATAAATTAATAAATAAATTGTTATAACAAAGCAAAATATATATAATTAAACTTCTACTAGTGTGAAAAAAAAGTAAAAAAAGAAAAGCAAAACTAAAACCAAAAAAAAAAAAAAAAAAAAAATCATTTTCTATTATTATCAATATTGCCATGACATGGGTTCCACTCCATGAATAAGTAAAATATTTTCTTTTAACTTAATAATAAGCCCAAGAAAGGAGGGAGGGGGTTTAAAAAATATAAATAATAAGTTTTATAATTTTTTATATAATTATATTTTAGTTCCATTGAATTGTAATTTAAATAATACTATCACTGTCCATCAATGATTTAGTCATATGACTAGAGAAATAATATTATTTTTCTTTTTATGTTGAAATTTATATTTTTCTTCTTTATTTGTATTTGAATCTAGATATCATTTATATTAGTTTTGATCCATTTAACTTTATCAAAAATGATATTATCCTAATTATATCAAAATTACAAGGTATGTTATACTTTTTCTAAATTTTTTTTTTTAAAAAAAAAATCGATATAATTTAACCCAAAAAAAAGAAGAAGGTGTATTTAATCTTAATCTTTTATATTTTTGTGAACTTTCGGAATTCAGAACCGGACTTCAAAGCCATTTGAATAAAAGATAAGATTGGTAAATTGTTTCTGTAGATAATTATTGTTGTAACTTTGCTTTTGGATAAAAAACAATTAAAAATGTTTTAGATTTTTTTTTTTTTTTTTTTTTTTTTTTAACTTCATAATTTTTTTTAGATCTTAATTATTGATGGTGTGGATCTCACATATATATGAGTGAGTCTTACATATATATTAATAGTTGAGATCTAAAAAAAATTATGAAGGCCTCAAAAAAATAGGATCCCAAACATTTTTGAAAGGCAAAGACAAAATGATTACAAAGAAGTAGTTACTTTTTTATATTTAAACCACGGCAATGTTAAGGGTCTCGAATTGTCAATAATTTCTCTCCTTCTTTTTATTTATTTAGAGGTCTCGAATTGTCGATAATTTCTCTCTTTCTTTTTATTTATTTATTTATTTGTTGGACTACGCTTCTTTTTTTTTTTACAGAATGATTATGTAGTTTTATCTGTTTGGTATATTTCTATTTGGTATTT